GTATGGCTGTTAAACATCCAATAAGGTTAGTTCCACCGGTCTGGTACTTTTAATTATCATGTGCTATGTAGATAAGGCTTAGGTAGAGAACCAAATATTCTCAGATAAACCTTGATTAGATTTATATTTTGTTCCTTAATCTAGTTGACTAAACTATGACCATAGAAAAATCTAAGATTATGTATATATTATTTTTGTCTCATCCTTTATATATCATAACAAACCTAAACAGACCTTCACTTGCTTAGGCTTTCTCATTTTTTTCTATTATGGAAAATATGTCCATTCCCATATCCTTTCAACATCTTTTACATTCTCATTTTCTTTCTTTTTTAAAAAATAATTATGAGACATAATAGCATTAACAAATAAATTTTCCATCTGTTGTGAAACTTCTTTTCCTGGGGATGCTAAGCAATGCTTATTCCCTTTTAAGGTTCTGGTGTCAAGCCAATGTTTCATTAAAGTTTTATTGAGGAACCAATAAATTTATTGAGCTTACTTACTGAGGGGTTGCTGAGGTGTGTGTATGACCTGAGGGTATGCACACTGGATAGCCTTTACCTAACATGGGTCATGCCTTGTCTTCCTAGCCTTCCACAGATTATATACTTTAGCCCTCCCCAAATCCAGGAGGCATTATGTGATTAGGGTCAAATTACATACCCAATTGGCTGGGAAGAGTGGCTGGATACTCCAGTAAGGGTCCAGGATCACAGGGTTTTTCAGAAGTAGGGTAAGGTAACTGCCACATACTCTAAGTGCCCCCAAGGTATCATATGAGGCTATGCAAGTTAGTCTCAAAGGTTCTTTCTACTGTGTGGTAATTGCAGAACAGGCAGCACTGATGAAAGTGTTCTAGACAATGTACAGTGTATATATTAGTAAGTGTTCTTTTTTACCTTTAAACCTATATGTTTAAAAACCAATAAATCAAACCAGGTTAAGGATACAGCTCAACAGAGGAGCAGCACCTGCTTAGCTTAGTATGGACAGGGTCCTGGGTTTGATTCTTTTTTTTTTTTTTTTCTGAGTCAGG